TGACAATGTATGTCTAAATTTGAGCAATGAAACAGAAGTTTCACCTGCGTTTGTGCAAATTCGCTTGCTGTACCTGTTCTGATTCTGCATTTGTTCATAGTTAGTTTAGTTTAAATTGGAGTAATTGAGTGTTGTAATTAATTTGGACTGCTGGACTTTAGAACTGCTTGATTGTCATTTGAGTAGCTAAATGTTTATGTGAGAAGTTGAATGCATAGGATCAACTAGTTGTTTTTCGTTCGTAAGTATTTGTTAAACTCAAATTCAAAGGTCTTTGTATTACTCAACCATGACAGTAGGGAACTCCAGATTCATGTTAGATTACATATTAGTTTGAAATTTCATTGATCCAACAACTTAAAAATGAAAAACAGGAAAATTAGTATTTCAGTAATTATTCCTATTCTCAGTCATAATTAGATGCAATTGAAGTGCATTAGTTGCAATTAGTTAGTTGTTAAATTTCAGATCAAGTACGTTAGATATAAATATGCCTCTGCACTGAATAATGTATGTCAAAACTGAAATTAAAGCTGATTTGCCTTCGAATTGCATAAATCTGTGTCTTTCATGTGTTTAAAATCATTAGACCCAATTGGCTTAGAAATCAGAACTCTTAGGATCCAATAAGACCAATTTCGCAGGCCTGGGTTCGTTCATGGGCCCAGCGTGATGATTTGCCATTTTGAATAAGCTTTGGGCTTAACCGTGTGCTACTAGCCCAGGCATTATTAGTCTGATGAATCAGTATATTTGATGAATTGTGGATTATCAAGGACAGCTTCGAATCAGGCTCCTGCTATGACCCAACATTGGTAACATATTTCATAAATGCTGATAGAATTCTTCACTTTTGGACTAGTTTCTGCAGCCCAACATGCTGAAAGCTCGAATTCCATTTAAAAGCATTAGGATTAATTTGGTGATATAAATTTGGGCTTACGAGTTAGGTAGCGGGTTCAAACTAAGAGGTTTTCCCTTTTGTCTGAACCCGGACTTGAACTTGAGGCCCGAATTTATAATATCAAATTAATTAGGCCCTTTTAGAGACAAACTGTAATAGAAAATCTTAGTTTCTTTAGGTTGGCCTTTAAATAAAACATGGGACGAGCCTCGCCGCATAAAAATGTAAATTGCGGGGCCCTCATTAAATGCTTTGTTAAAATATTTTAGAAATCGGGTAAGCCATTTAGCAAATTTTCATGGCTTCCCGCAAAGATATCAACACGCTAGTTGCTTTAGACGCGTTATTTAATAATTTTACCTTCCTAAATTCGGGCGTGCATTTCATGTGACCCAAATCCAAATCCCAAAACGTTGAATAAGAGGTGTCAAGGATCCGGGTGCATTTCATGTGACGTGATCCAAAAACACGCTCTTAAACGGCGTTCACTTTCGTAAAAATAACGAGAAGCGGTAAATAATTTATAAAATTGCACTATAGGTTTGTATATGTATAAAATCAGATTTTTAGCCATTTATAATAATTTAAGCGACCGTGCTAGAACCACGGGATCCGGGGGTGCCTAACACCTTCCCTCGGGTCAACAGAATTCCTTACACAGAATTTCTGGTTCGCAGACTCCAATTGGGAAGTCGAAATTTTCCTCGATTTGGGATTTAAGTTAAACCGGTGACTTGGGACACCAAAAGCCAATCCTATCCCAAGTGGCGACTCTAAAAATAAATAAATAATCCCATTTCGAATAATGTCACTTTAAATGGAAAAACTCCCTTATACATTTATCCTTCGGGGTAGGTGCATAAAAAGGAGGTGTGACAATATGTCGGCCGGAGTGTGCTTTCTTTTATTGATGGGTCTTCGGAGTATCAGCCGTATGCTCCACACAGGGTTTTGCGCCAGCTGGATAGATACCAAACTGTCCCTCATGATGAAGATTTGAGTCGGCAAGTCATTGAATTAGGTCCAAAAGCTGTATTCCCGGAAGAAAAAGTTCGCCAGATTTGGCATCAGTGTAGGTTTTTGGAGCCACAAACTCGGGTACGGGATTTGTCCAAGGGTGAGTTAGAGCCTAGTTACACGGCCTGGTATGGTAAAAGGGTTCGAGTCCATCAAGAGCCTGAACGGCCCGCCAAAAGGCCCTATGTTCAACAATTCACTGATGGGGCACAAGAACAATGGAATTGGTTAGCAAAGGAGAAAGGCTACAGGGCCACGATAAACAAATTGGAAGGGCAAATCAGAGATCTTAAATTTGATACTGATGTGCAAACCGCTGCAGATGAGGGAGAAAAGAAAAAATTAGCCCAAGAAAATGAAGTCCTCCGAGCCCAAATCCAAAAGATGAAAATAGCAGCTGAAAACCAAGTAAGAAGCAGAGCAGATGAAAGACTCATAAACGGTCTTAGGAGGAAAATATGTGAGTACAGGAATGATTTGGAAAAATCCGAAAGTGGTCTGGCAAGAGCCTGGGCACAGTTGGCGAAGAACCCAAAGGGACGGGCACAATTCGTTCGACAATTAAAAGGGAAATATGATAGAGAAGTCACAAATCTAAAGAAGAAGCTGAATACCCTTGAGAATGAAATGGCTAAACAAGCAAAAAACTTTAAGGCAGAGAGGGAACATTGTTATGCATTAATGGCCCAAATGGAGGAGGACATGCAACAATTGCAGGAGCAAAGCCATAATGACGCCCAAGTTCTGGAAGCTAGATCTCAACAAATTGGGCGCTTGCTCCAAGAGAAAGGCATCATTAGAGAGAGGATTAGGGGAATTGCTGACTATATCGTCAAGAAATGCCATGAGTGTGAGGATATGAATAGATCCACTTTCTTCGCCGCAGTAATGACTTTTGTTTGCCAGATAATGGATGACCTGGATCGTCTCCAAGTAGATCTTCCACACAGGCCCGCGGCGAGACCGACTGATGTCCCGCGGGCCCCTGGGGTAGTTCTGGAAGCACTTATGTATTCTTGATTTTCCTTTTCGAGTCTGTATTTCAGTTTCCTTTTCGAGCCTGTTTTGAGTCTATTTTAGTTTTCAAGTTCTTAAGTATGTATGAGTCTTTGTAATAAAGAAAAATTAGAAGTCTTTATTTTAATGAAAATTCGAAAAAAACCAAAAATTGTTTATTTCTTTTATTTCACATTTATCCCTTGAACTAGGTGATGATCTGATTCGCACGACGTCGCGATACGTAGGCAATCCACATCGGATCCGGTCATAGCTATAAATGACTCAAATAAGAGAGAAAATGATGAAAAGAGGGCACAAGAAGAGAGAGAAAACAATGAGAGAGTGCAAAGATGTAGGAGAGCAAATAATGAAAAGTGCAAAAGAAAAGAAAGATCGGGGAGATAAACAAAAGCCGGGATGAGACATACAACCGTTGCGAAACATGTAGAAAAACGTTAACTGTATAGGTGCATTGCATTCCCCAACGTGCGATTCCCTATGTGCTAATTGTCTCAAACTAACCGTTTTATTGTGTTTGCTATTGAGATCAAGTTCTGTTTCTAAGGTGATTTGTTTTGTGGTAACCTGGCTTCACACCCTTACTTTACACGGTCCAAGGAAAGTGTCGAAATGTCGTCAGAGAGTCATCTACCAACAATTCCCATCCCAGAGGATAGCCCGCTGTCAGTTATCTTAACGTCAGAGTCAGCAACTACTGAAGAGAACAGAGCAGTGCGCCTCCGCATGTTGGAAATGTGGGACGCTTGGTCTAACGGTAGAGAGCCGCATAGTACAATACCTGGTTTCCTCGAGCTGATTCCCAGAACAAGTGGAACCTCCAACATCCCTATAAATTAGCCGAATACCCCACTTGGATACCCCACCATGTCAGCCCATTTCGCCGGAACGCCTTCTGAGGTTCGCCCACAGGCATTGATTTCGGGAGTGGCTTCAAACATATTCACCGCACGACCAACCTTGGCCACGGCATAGCCGACATTGCCCAGGCCAAGCTTTGAGCTGTCATCGTTTACTTTCCAAACACCACCATTTCTACCAGACACGGCTCATGTCACTACAAACTCCTACCCTTAACAACCTCCGTATGTGTTTACCGCGGGACAAGAGAGAACTGTAAAGAATCCTGAACAAGAGGAGATCACTCGGAAAATGAAAAGCATAGAGCAAAGTCTCAACAACATACAAGGCCTGAGTGGCCAGAAGAGTGTATCCTACGCTGACTTGTGCATGTTCCCGCATGTTCATCTTCCCATCGGTTTCAAGACTCCCAAATTTGAGAAATATGATGGACATGGGGACCTTATAGCTCACCTGAAGAGGTATTGTAATCAGTTGAGGGGAGCGGGTGGAAAAGAAGAGCTCCTAATGGCTTACTTCGGGGAGAGTTTAGTCGGGATTGCATCTGAATGGTATATGGATCAAGACATTTCCCGCTGGCACATATGGGATGACTTGGCCCGAGACTTTGTCAGACAATTCCAGTACAACATAGACATAGCTCCAGATAGAAACTCTTTGTCCAATTTCAAAATGAAGTCTTCGGAAAGTTTCCGAGAGTATGCTGTCAAGTGGCGCGAACAAGCTGCCAGGGTAAAGCCCCCCAATGGATGAGAACGAGATGGTCAGTGTCTTCTTGCAAGCCCAAGAGGCTGATGACTTCCAAAACATGATGTCTGCTATGGGCAAGCCATTTGTTGAAGCTATAAAGATTGGAGAAATGGTAGAGAATGGTTTGAAAATAGGTCGTATCCTGAGCCAGTCAGCTATAAGAGCCACCTCTCAAGAAATCCAGAGCGGGTCGGGGGCTACAGCAAACCGAAAAAAGAAAGAAGAGGTAGCAATGATGACCTCAAGTCTGAGAAATCCTCATCAACCCCGAGGTTAATTTGGTTCCTCTCCCAGAACCCCACAACATTATTATCCTCACCAAGATGCGGCTTACGCCATGGCCCTTCAGCCTTCTGCGGTGATGAATGCCCAGCCATACGCTCGGCCACAACAACAATTTAACCAAAACCGAGCTCCACCTCCTAGAAATAACCCTCCTTACCAAGCTCCATATAATCCCCAACCCCCACAAAATAATTTTCCATATAATGCCCGTGCCCGTGAGCCACCCAGAAGAAACAACTTCACGCCCATCGGTGAATCATACTCTAGCCTCTTCCCTAAGTTGGTCCAAATGGGTTTGTTGCAGCCCATACCTCCAAACAGGCAAAACCTAGAGTCACCCTCCTACCGACCCGACACCCGATGTGCTTATCATTCAGGGGCCGAGGGGCATGATACTGAAGGTTGCTGGACCCTTAAGAGAGCAATCGAGAACCTGATAGAGCAAAAGCGGATAGTTTTGAGGGATGAGGAGATTCCCAATGTTACCAATAACCCACTGCCGGCTCACAACAACGGGCCAGTTATTGGGATGATTTGTGAAGACAGAGAGTTCAACCCAGCTTTGAAGGCTATCATTGCTATCGTCCATGTTGAAAAGAAGACCAAAGCTGCAGCAAAGCCAGCTAAAGACGAGAAGAAAAGCAACTCCACTCCTCAAAGAATAGAAAAGACTGTGGAGTCCCAAACAGGGGCAGTACCTCCTAAAGATGTCGTTCTTTATGTTCCCAGGGCCCCCAGAAAAGAACAATTAGTGTTAAGTCCCCCCAAAAGGTTTGAGCTAGACAAGGGACCTAAGATGTACGTACCAAAGGGGATTTATGTGGCGCGGGAGCCGATAATTTCACCCAGGCTGAATGAGCCTGTGGTTATCAGCCGCGCACTACAGAATCCCATGAAGGACCCCACTGCCGTCCCATGGAATTATAACAAAACAGTGGTAACGTACAAAGGAAAAGAAATCATGGGGGAAGTGAATGAAACAAACCCTTCTAGGGAGTACCTTAATCTGGAAGAGTTGAACAAGACCAAACAGAACCGTTTCCCGCTTAAAAAGCCAGTCAGTGCTGAAGAGGCAGAGGAATTCTTACGAAAGATGAAAACCTCGGAGTATGATGTAATTTACCAACTCCGGAAGTCTCCCTCCAGGTCTCACTTCTGTCTCTACTTATAAGTTCGAATGAGCATCAGAAAGTGCTGTTGAAGACACTTAATGATGCATATGTTCCTGTCGAGACCACGGTTGAGCAACTGGAAAGAATGGCGGAATGATTTTTTGAAGTCAATCGGATCTCGTTCAGTCGAAATGACTTGCCTCCGGAAGGGGCTGCCCACAACATAGCTCTCCATTTGACTGTTAAATGTGAAGGATACTACGTGAAGAGAGTTATGTTGGATGGCAGATTTGGGGTCAACATCTGTCCTCTCTCGACCTTGCAGAGAATGGAAATTGGGACTGAAAGAATTAGGCCCAACAATATTTGTGTACGCGCTTTTGATGGCGTCAAAAGAGATACCATAGGGGAGATTGATTTAATCCTAACTATCGGCCTTGTGGATTTTGAAGTGACATTTCAAGTTTTAGACATGGACACCTCCTACAATTTCTTCCTAGGAAGGCCTTGGATCCATGCTGCAGGTGCCGTACCTTCTACTCTTCACCAGATGGTTAAATTTGAATACGAAAACCAAGAAATCGTGGTCCATGGAGAAGATGAGTAGTCAATCTATAGGGACCCATCAGTTCCATGTCTAGAGGCCAAGGAAGGTAGCGAGCACATAGTTTACCAAGCTTTTGAGATTGTAGTCGGGGATCAGTGTGAGGAAGGAACACCGTGTCCTCAACCTTTCTTGTCAAATGCGTCCATCATGGTCACCACTAAAATAATCAAGCACAGGTACAAGACCAGGAAAGGGCTTGGGGCATCTTTGCAAGGCATCACAGAACCCATCACTCTAACTGCCAGTGAGAAATTCTTCAGTGTGGGTTCCCAAGCCACAGAAGCTAATGTGACATGGGCTAATGAACGTAAAAAGAATGGGTGGGCCCTGCCTCAGCCGGTCTCGCATATCTCCAAGACATTTGTCAAGCCTAGATACGTAAAGGAAGAAGATGAAGCCTTCACGATCGAGGAAATCGTGGACATTTGTGGAGCGATAAGGCAGATGTTATATGACGCTCATATGGTCCAGCCGGGTGAAGGCTCGAGCACCGCTGAGGTGCAATATGCGGGGCCGAATGCCAAGCTTCAAAATTGGGAGGCTACTCCGTTCCCAGTCAGGAGGGAATCCTGGTAGTTTCAGTCTTGCCACTTTTTCTATATTTCGAGTTATTTCAGGGTGTAACTTGAATGTGTTTTAGTTTATTGTCTTTTAAATTCCAATGTAAACCCTCCTATCATTAAAATTCAATGAAATGAAATCAATATTTCATTGCCCATGAATCTATTTCTTTATTCTTTCTAATATTTCGTTATTTGTCTTATCTCTCTTTTCAGTTCTAATAATGCGGACTTAAATAACATGACATGCTTGCGGACTTCATGCCCAGATCCTAAACATGTTGTCTAACTGTGAAATAATGAATCAAGAACCAGAATATGATGAAGATGAGGCTTTTAAGGAAATTAACCGAGAACTGGAACAATTTGAGAATAAGCCTAAGCCAAACTTTAATGAAACCGAGCCAGTTAATTTGGGTAGTTCGGAAGAGGTCCAGGAAACCATGATAAGCATTCACACTGATGAAAGTACTAGAAATGCATTGATCCAACTTTTGTTCGAATTCAAAGACGTGTTTGCTTGGTCCTATGATGATATGCCAGGGCTGAGTGTTGATTTAGTGGTGCACAAATTGCCAACTTACCCCGGTTATCCCCCTGTCCAACAAAAACATAGAAAGCTCAAAACTGACATCAGTGACAAGATCAAAGAAGAGGTCACCAAACAGTTAAAGGCAGGTGTGATCCGAGTGGTACGATACACCACATGGTTGGCTAATGTGGTCCCAGTACCAAAGAAAGACGGGAAAATCCGAGTGTGTGTTGATTATCGGGATTGAACAAAGCAAGCCCCAAGGACAACAATCATCCACATCCTTGTTGACAACTGTGCCAAACATGAGATAGTCTTTTATGGATTGTTATGCTGGGTATCACCAGGTTCTGATGGACGAAGAAGATGCAGAAAAGACGGCTTTCACCACACCCTGGGGTAGTTACTGTTACAGAGTCGTGCCATTTGGTTTGAAGAATGCCGGGGCAACTTACATGAGGGTTATGACTGCCATCTTTCACGACATGATGCACCAGGAAATTGAGGTGTATGTGGATGATGTGATCATTAAATCCAAGACGCAGGACGACTATGTGCGAGATTTGAAAAAGTTCTTTGAGCGGCTGCTTAAGTATGACTTGAAGTTGAATCCCGCTAAGTGTGCATTTGGAGTACCATCAGAGGAAACTTTTGCGGTTTGTAGTCAGTCGGAGAGGCATCAAGTTAGGTCCAACAAAGAGAAAGTCTATTCGCGATTTGCCTCCTCCAAGAACCAAGAAAGAGGTGATGAGTCTGCAGGGAAGATTGAATTACATCAGCAGGTTCATTGCTCAGTTGACTTCTACGTGTGAGCCCATCTTTAAGCTGTTGAAGAAAGATGGGGTGATTAGATGTACAGATGAGTGTCAAGATGCTTTCGACAAAATCAAAGAATATCTGTCGAATCCACCAGTGTTGGTTCCACCCAAGCCCGGAAGGCCATTGTTCCTGTACTTGACGATGTTGGAGAATTCTTTTGGATGTGTTCTCGGGCAACATGATGTGACCGGGAAGAAAGAACAAGCCATATACTACTTGAGCAAGAAGTTCACTAGTTATGAAGCCAAGTAAACTTTGTTGGAAAGAACTTGTTGCGCCTTAACTTGGGTCGCTCAGAAGCTTAGGCATTACTTGTTGGCCTACAACACCTATCTCATAACCAGGTTGGATCCTCTAAAGTACATATTCCAAAAACCAATGCCTATGGGGAGGTTGGCAAAATGGAAAATCCTGCTCACCGAATATGACATAGTCTATGTCACTCGCACGGCAATGAAAGCTCAAGCCTTGGCGGATCACCTAGCTGAAAATCCCGTTGATGATGAATATCAGCCTTTGAGTACCTACTTTGCGGACGAGGAAGTAAATTCAGTTGAGATAATTCCGAAAGACACTAATGCTTGGAAAATGTTCTTCGATGGAGCTGTACATGCAAAAGGTGTTGGGATTGGGGCAATTTTGATTTCGCCCACTGGTCAGCACTATCCGGCCACAACCCGGCTTCAGTTTTTTTGTACGAATAATACCACTGAGTATGAAGCCTGCATTATGGGCATGAACATTGCAATTGACCTGGATGTGGAAGAATTGCTAATCATGGGAGATTCTGATTTGATTATCTGACAAGCTCAAGGTGAATGGGAAACCCAAGACATCAAGCTTATTCCATACAGGCAACATGTGGAAGATCTTAGCAAGAAGTTCAAATCCGTCAAGTTCAGGTACATTCCTCGGTTTCACATTGAGTTAGCCGATGCACTAGCTATTTTGGCCTCGATGCTGCCGTATCCGGGTAATGTCCACATTAACCCGTTGGAAATCCAAATCCGAGAAAGGCATGGTTATTGCAATACGGTGGAGGTGGAACCAAATGTTCAGCCATGCTATCATGATATCAAGAGATTTTTGAAAACAAAGGAATATCCTCAGCAAACCAGTAGAGACCAAAAAAGAACCATTAGAAGGCTCGCCAGTGGTTTCTTCTTGAGCGGAGAAGTCTTGTACAAAAGGACTCCAGATCTGAACTTTCTAAGATGTGTGGATGCCCAAGAGGCCGGAAGAATCATGAATAAAGTGCACGCAGGAGTATGCGGGCCCCATATGAACGGATACATCCTTGCAAAGAAATCCTTCGAGCAGGCTATTACTAGATGACCATGGAAAAGGATTGTTTCAGTTTTGTCCGAAAGTGTCATCAGTGTCAGGTACACAGGGATCTGATTCATGCACCACCTTCAGAACTGCATCCTATGTCAGCACCGTGGCCGTTCGTTGCTTGGGGTATGGATGTCATTGGGCCAATCGAGCCAAAAGCTTCAAATGGGCACAGATTCATATTAGTTGCCATTGACTACTTCACAAAGTGGGTCAAAGCAGTCACTCTCAAAGCCGTCACTAAGAAAGCAGTGGTAGACTTCGTGCACTCCAACATCATCTGTCGTTTTGGTATTCCTAAAACCATCATTACGGACAATGCTGCAAATTTGAATAGTCATTTGATGAGGGAGATATGTGAACAATTTAAGATCACGCATCGGAATTCTACCCCTTATCGGCCCAAAGCTAATGGTGCTGTTGAAGCAGCGAACAAGAACATCAAGAAGATTCTTAGGAAAATGATTCAAAGTTCTAGACAATGGAATGAAAGTTGCCGTTTGCATTGTTGGGATATCGCACAACTGTGCGCACATTAGTTGGAGCACACCCTATCTATTGGTTTATGGCGCTGAAACCGTAATACTCGTAGAAGTTGAAATTCCATCTTTTCGAATCATCATTGAGGCTGAGATTGAGGATAGTGAGTAGAAATCTGCCCCTCCGGCCCAGTATCAATCGCTTAAAACAGTATCAGCCCCTCGGGCTCAGTATCAGTCACTCAGCATAATATCAGCCCCTCGGGCTCACTCTCAGATCATATGGGTACCCGCGCTCACTGTTGGTGTGCAGACTCCGGAGGGGCCCCTTACGGCCCCAGCGCTATATCAACATAAGGCCTGAAAGCCTTCTCACATCACTCATAAGGCCTGAAAGCCTCCTCACATCACTCACAAGGCCTGAAAGCCTCCTCACATCACTCGCAAGGCCTGAAAGCCTACCTCACATCACTCAACATATCCTCACATATGGCCCTCGGCCTCACTCAGTCTAGAAAACATCATAAGCCCCTCGGGCATCAATAAAATAGTAGTGCTCAGCCCAAACAACAGTGAAAATATCATTTAAGTCTCAAAATTCAATTAAAGTGGCTGAGTTTGTAAAACAGTATAATCAACAGGACTGAGTTCAAGTAATACATCAAATAGTGAGGAAGAGAGATAAAAATCCACGAAGGACTCAAGTAGTCGGCATAAAGCCCAAATATGGCTAGAGGCCCAAATCATGTTGATAACAAACACATCTCAGGTAGATACGCGGTAAAAATATCAATCGGGACGGACCAAGTCACAATCCCCAGTAGTAAATAACCCTGCGCTCGTCATAAGGTGCGTGTTTCACCTCAGTATAGCACTACGTTGTGCAAATCCGGGGTTTCAAACCCTCAGGATATCATTTACTATCATTACTCACCTCAAGCCGACCAAAATCCTAGCTCGCTATGCCCTTTCCTCTCAAATCGGCCTCCTCGTGCGTCGAATCTGATCAAAACCACAACGAATACATCACAATAGGCTAAGGGAACATAACCCAATCGAAAAGAATCGAAAAACATCGAAAATCACGAAATTTACAAAACCCGATCCCCCGGCCCACTTCTCGAATTCCAGAAAATTTTACATCAACGGATTCCTTATCTCGCACGAGTCTATACATACCAAAAACTCTCAAATCCGAGCTCAAATGACCCATCAAAACCCACTTTGAAATATCAAAATCCAAGCCCTAGCTTTTCCCCCCTTTTTGATGAATTT